GATAGTCGCCAAGAACAGAGACCTGGCTGAGGAGACATACATCTCTCTCTGACTCAGTCAGGCATAAACCCCTGGGGCATCTGCTCATTGGGGTAAACTGGATCACAGCCCCAGCCCCACTGGGGTTACCACTGACTGAGTGTGATAGAGGTGCAAGGTGGGGAAGGAGGCATCAACCTTCCCAGACTAATTTATTTGCCAGGTTGGTCCTTCTGACCTCAAAGAGTACCGGAGCCAGTCATTCCTGAGCTGCCAGCAGACCCCTGCTATCTAGTTGCCAGAGACCTTTTGAACTACCTCACCTGAGACCAGTGCTGACTGAGATAATTGATTTGGACCTCTTGAACTGGGCCAATCACCCGAGGACTATCCAAAGTGCTATCCTGGGTGTGTGGTTGTGGGAAGGTGTGATTTTCATTTTCCAATTGTTGTCTGTGGGGGGGGAGGGTGACTTCATTGCTGGTATTTCTCCACAGCTCAGACTTCAACCCAGAGTAATTGATTTACTAGGGTAGAACAGAGACCAGCTGAAAACAAGACAGAGCAACTTAGCCCCACCAAACCAAGGAGGCCCACAGATTCTCAGGCCATAGCACTATACGGGTCTTTGGCAAAGCTCTAGGAGAAAGGCCAAATGGTGTAAATTAAGCATGGGGTGGAATCAGTGGAGAAACTCTGGTAATATGAATAACCAGAGGAGATCAACCACTCAAAAGAAGGACATGGCAGATGCAATTGAAGACCCCATCCATAAACAGATGGCTGACATGTTAGAAATCAAGTTCAGAGTCTGGATAGCAAATAAGATCAACATAATGGAGGAAAGGAGGGAATCAGAATTTCAAATTATTCAAAAGATCTCTCAAGAATTCAACAATTTCAAAGATAAAATGACCAAAGATTTGGACACATTGAGGCAACAGTTTGTAGCCCTCAAAGATCTGAAAAATATGGTAGAATTCCTCACTAACAGAATGGAACAGGCAGAAGAAAGGATCGCTGACATTGAAGATAAAGCTTTTGAATGCACCCAAGTGCTCAAAGAGGAAGAGAAATGGAGAGCAAAAATGGATCATTTTCTCAGAGAGCTCTGGGATAATTCGAAGAAAACTAACGTTCACCTTATAGGAATCCCTGAAGGAGATGAAGTTGCTTCACAAAACACAGAGGCTCTTCTTCATGAAATTATGAAAGAGAACTTTCCAGACATGCCAAGAGATTCTGAAATTCAGATAGCAGACAGTTTCAGAACCCCAGCATGATTCAATCCGAAAAAGACATCTCCCAGGCACATCATAATTAACTTCACTAAAGTTAATATGAAAGAGAAAATTCTAAAAGCAGCAAGATGTAAGAAAACCATAACCTACAAGGGGAAGAATATTAGAATGACTACATATCTCTGCTGAAACCTTTCAGACTAGAATAGGATGATCATTGACTTTTAATTTCCTAAAACAAAACAACTTTCAACCCAGGATCCTTTATCCAGCTAAACTGAGTTTCATTATCTATGATGGAGAATTAAATACTTTAATGACATTCACTTGTTGAAGAAATTTGCCATAACTAAACCAGCTCTCCAGGAAATTCTCAGACTTATCCTCCATAATGACCACTGTAATCCTCCACTATAAAAGTACTGACTCAGAAACTTTTGATCAAATCCCAACTTCCACAGTGGTGAAAGGATTAAAAATGTCCACTGGAATTTCGAAAAACTTGAAACCCAAAATTTTGCCAGGCTTATCAATATTCTCAATTAATGTGAATGGCTTAAATTGTCCTCTAAAGAGGCACAGGTTGGCTGACTGGATACAAACACTCAGGTCAGATGTCTGCTATATACAAGAATGTCATCTTACCTTAAAAGATAAATATAGACTCAGGGTGAAGGGATGGTGATTCCAGGCAAATGGAAAGCAGAAAAAGCAGGTATTTCAATTTTATTTGCAGACACAATAGGCTTTAAACCAACAAAAGTAAGCAAGGACAAGGACGGTCACTTTATGTTTAAGGGTAATACTCCATATGATGAGATTTCAATTATTAATATTTATGCAGCCAACCAGAATGCACCTCAATTTATAAGAGACACTCTGACGGGCATGAGCAACTTGATTTCTTCCAGCACTATCATAGTTGGAGACTTCACCACTCCTTCAGCAGTGTCCGATAGATCCTCCAATAAGATAAGCAAAGAAATTTTAGATTTAAACTTAACCATCAACATTTGGATTTAACAGACATCTACAGAACATTTCATCCTAACAAAGCTGAATACACATTTTTCTCATCAGCCCAGGGAACATACTCCAAAATTGACCACATCTTAGGTCACAAGTCTAACTTTAGCAAATTTAAAAGAATAGAAATTATTCCTTGAATCTTATTGGACCATCATGGAATAAAAGTTGAACTCAGTAGCAACAGAAATCTGCAGACTCATACAACAACATGGAAGCTAAATAACCTTATGCTATAGGATAGGTGGGTCATAGATGAGATTAAGAAGGAAATTATCAAATTTTTGGAACAAAACAATAATGAAGATACGAATTATCAGAACCTCTGGGATACCGCTAAGACAGTCCTAAGAAGAAAATTTATAGCACTGCAAGCCTTCCTCAAGAGAACAGAAAGAGAGGAAGTGAACAACTTAATGGGACTTGTCAAACAACTGGAAAAGGAAGACTATTCCAATACAAAATCCATCAGAAGAAAAGAAACAACTAAAATCAGAGCAGAATTAAATGAAATTGAAAACAAAAGGATTATACAACAGATCAATAAATCAAAAAGTTGGTTTTTTGAAAAGGTCAATAAAGTAGATAAACCTTTAGCCAACCTACACAGGAAAAAAAC